TGGTGATATGATCCGAGCAATGGCTGTCATGGGAATGGTACAAGCGACAATGGCAGGCGTTAAGTACTCGTATTGTGGTCAAATGAAGAAATTGGCATATCTACTAGAGCAAAGGCAAGATGAGGCTCGTGACGCGGGAACTCGTGCTTTTAAGCCCATCTGCATAACGTGTAAAAAAAGTGTTTCGACGTCTAAATTGGTCACGTGCAAGCTTTGTTTTGGTGCAGTCTGCAGCTCGTGTAGAATGTCAAAAAAGCTGAGCTTTATCGCTCCTGATCTGACCCTCTTAAGGCGCAAAGTTCCTTTCTGCGTTAAGTGCTTGGTGGAGGCAACTCAAATGGATACGCAAGAAGTAGCTCGAGAGCAATTGGAAAAGAGGGATGTTTCACTTGCACTGTATGGTATGTCGGCAGCATCCGATCTCAGTACATGTTCAGAGAGCACATTAACGTTTTAGAGGCTGCGAGTAGTTTCGCTAGTACATTTATGTTTTAGTTCCTTGTGAACTGGGAGAAGATTTGTAGATTCTTTACCTTTTCTTCTTATATATGTTCTTTTTGAAAAGATGGTTTTTCGAATGACCTAATTGTTTCGTGAAAATATGCACACAATGTTGATTCTTTGAGCGAGGATATCGATCATTCATGATAATAACATGCTTCTGTTCATGAAGTCAGTGAGTGATTAAAGAGACAGCACTTCGTGTCGCGAGCTAACATTCATGAGAAGAAAAGATCCAAGTACAGTTGATTGTACACAAGGAATATACATCAAGCACTCTGCTGCGGCTACGTTATACGAGGAGGGCCATAATACCTTATATCGTAGTTTGTACCATCTCCATGACAGCCGTCGTTCAAATCATCACGTCGAGCCCCGACAATCAATACGACCGTCTCCTTAACGTAATATACAACGGAAGAACACCTGCGATGAGACCATTCGATCGTTTGAGAGCAAATCACCGAGTGGTATATATAGCAATCCAGCTTTAATCTCAGAAGTCACATCAACTACATTGTTTCGACTGCAACGCTAAGTCATGTGAACCTCAATTGACTTGTATACCACAGTTCGAAATATATCAGGCTCGATACTGGTCGTACGTACTGCTGTAGCACAAAATCCTGCAAATGCAATGCTTTGATGTGCATATATTTTGATGTAGATCCACGAGATCAAACCTGTTTTATACAAGACGTCAGAGTTTTTTGGATACGATGTCATACCATAGCGTTATAACTTTTCCACCGCGACAGATTAATTTTCCTTTCATTTCTCCATACTCGTTGATCCAAAAGCGATACGTCCATATCATCTGTGGCAATACTGAATGAGACGGTAAAGGTTGACAACTTGCTTGGATACCACGCTCCTCACGACATAAGCAGCTATTTTCATCGATACTCGATTTGATAGGCCAGACGGACAACAATTAAAAGTGTAATGCAGTTATAGGTTTCTTTGCTGCCATGTAGTAGTACAAGCTGACACAGACATGTAGCAAAAGCATCAAATCTAACACTTCAAGGGCTTTTTGAATTCAAAACTGTTAATTTTCTAAATGTACGGCCAACAAATGCGTAGCTGCATTGTAGTACATGCTCGACTTATTAAGGATTACCCTTAAAAATTCATTTTGAGTATGATATTCATACTACCACCTGGCCTATGAATTAACGCGGCAAACTCGAAGTATCCCTAAATTAAGCTCAAATAGTAGTATAATCACAATTCCCTACATAAAGTCCATAAATCTTTCAATCAGGTGTTTTTTTAAACTGAGATTGCAACAGGATTGCCGTGCACCTTACACAGAGGAATTATCAACTCAAAGAGATTCCAAATACAAAAAAGCGAGCTTGATTCGTCCGCTCCACACAGGAGCAGATTGAATTTTTAAACTGTAGGTACTTACTTTGATCTGCGATTCAGAGACTAACATGCATGAGGAATTAATTTCATGTAACCGAACATATACATTTTACTATATCCATTAAAAAAGTATTTTCATTGCTTGACGCGAGGCTAACAGCCCACGCATACGATAGAGCTTTCCAGTACGGTTTTATCGCCTTCGTGAGTTCTGTAACTCAGTACTTCTGAGCATTCACAATCACAATCACACAAACTCTTCTCTTCTCCTTTCTTTTCTTCCCTTCTCCTCGTGTATTGTGAATTCTATAGAATTTCACATCATTTCATTTGCTCAACTAAGGGATAGCCAGTCGTACAATATATACCCCGTTTACATCTCCAGCACCAAGAGTAATCACACTAAATCTCACGAATCCTTTGTTGGAAACAAGTTAAGTCTCCACCTAAGTAAATCAGGAGGAGTTATGAAACTCCCAACCATTTGCATAACTACATCGCTACAAGCAGAATACATTCACTTGGGAATGCACATTCAAACCACCAGGTCCTTG